ATATATATATATATATATATATATATATATATATATGTTTGTTTTTGTATATTAAATATGCTAAAATGCATTTATATTTTCAATTAATTATTAGTGTTGTGGTTATTGAAACAAAAACCTTTAATTTTATTAAAAAAATATGATTTAATCATAAAATCACTTTTAGAACATTCACAACACCGAGTTTTTTGCTTGAAATTTTTTTTTATGAAAAATCTCAAAATAGAAAAAACTCATTGTATCTCTCGTAATATGCGAGCTTTTTCGTTTGCTTTTTATTAGTTGTGTTTGTATGTTGTATGGTTTTAATTGGTTAAAAATATATAGGTCTCACCCAATAAAGGAAAAAAGCACTTTGTTAGAATTATAAAAGCTCTTACTATTGGTTTTTCTAGGGATGAGTTTTTAACCAAAAAATCGAATAGGAATCGGAACCGATTAGTGGTATTCGACCTGGTTCCCGATTCCCCCAATCCATTATTTTTGTTTTTTTTTTCAGTTCAGGTTGGTGTCGGTACCGAACACCTTCTTAGATAATATATTTTCCAGTAGAACCGAACCGGTTCCAACCGGTTAGTGGTATTCGGTCCATTTCTCGGTTCTCCGTTCACTTTTTAACATGTTTTCGGTTCTTCTGGTTTCGTTCCAGTTCGGCTGGTTTTAGACCGTTTTACATCCCTATGTTTTTTATTTTTCAAGGGTTTTTTGTTTGAAAAAACTCATATTGTAGATGCTCTTTTGTGCATTAAAACTGAAAGTTTCTATTTTTTCTATTGTTACCTTTGTGGCATGTTATCATAAATTTTAAAGTCTACCATGAAATAAAATTAGCAATAAAACCCTTAAGTTTGAATTTTTTTAATGCTTTTACCTTAACTATGTTTTATTTTTCTTATTATATGTATTCATATATAAATATATATTTTTACGTATTTATATACTAAAACAATATTTTAAATATAACCGTATTTATGTTTTTTTAAATGCTATTTTTATATACATTTTTTTGCCTATTTATTCGGTCTAAAATGTAAAAAATACTTATTCACATTTTTATAAAATGGTGAAAAAGTAAAATTCTTAAAATCGTTTTTTATCTAATTTAGAAGTAAAAATATACTTTTACATATTTTTTACCTTTTTAGAAATACAAATTATATTTTTAGAAGCATAAATAAAAAACTTAGAAGTGTAAATATGTTTTTTAGAAATATAAATACGTATTTTTATGTTTTTTAGATGTAAAAATATATTTTAAAAGCATAAATAAATTATTTGGAAGTACAAATACATATTTTTATAGTTTTTGAAGTTAAAATATACATTTTTTGTCTTTAGAAGTAAAAAAAAAAAAAAAAAAAAAAAAAAAAAAAAAAAA